TGAGTTTAAAGTATATGATGACAAACGTCTGACTTTTTAACCCAGTATGTCATGTACCGTGATACGTATCGAACCGTGAACTGAATACCGTGATACGTATCGTATCGTGGGGTAGGCGTACCGTTGCACCCCTATTACGTTGTTTCATTCAATGTTGAAGCATTTTTTATCTCGAATTTTCTGAATTAGGGTAGGGTGGTGTAATTTCGACCGATTATTTTTTTGTACTTAAGATTTGTTAAAGTATGTCACTGTTATGTTATGTTACAACTTTAACTGGATCCTTTTACCTTCCAAATACCTTTTATCTTTCAGATTACATCAATTTTGTATATATTTTTGGTCATAATATGAAATAAATGCGTTTGATTTACAAGATACGCATGTTGGGTAATTTCGACCGCACACGGGGTATTTTCGACCGATGAGCCATCATAAAGGAAAAAAATGACGTCAGCTCTAATATATTTAAAAAAATATTAATTTAAATTTAACTGCTGTACAGCATAAAAGATTGAGTAAAAAATACTAACAAAAAATACAATTTTTCTATTAAATGTACTTCGAAGACATCGAGTGCACCAGTTGTCTATGTCGCTGATATGCCAATTAGTTAAGGCATGCTATACAAATGTACATGTACAGGCATCTGAACCGCATGTGAATAAAACAAATGATTTTTCACTATTTTGATACTTGCTTCTACCAGGTAGTAATGTACATAATTCTTATCCTAATAATTGATTTAGAGCCATATACTAAAGCTTGCGACTACCGGTAATATAGAAAGAACATTGCAGGCCCTCTCCCCAACCCCCCACCCCGGCCCACTTATTTCCTCATTATAGGGATGTTTAACCTACCGTTTTCAAATTAAGTGATCAAATTTTTGTTTTATGCCTGAAATCTAGGCCTATTGACCATGCATTTCCTAAAAATACAGGTACTAATATTTTTTTCACTCGCGGTGAAGATTGTCGCTGCATGTTAGTGGCACTGCACGAGGATTATTTATACCGTTCATTCTGACTTTGTGATCAGAATATGAATTACACAACACTAGTGAAAATAAGTTGCTGGTCATCCTAATATGTCTCTGCAATAAATTAAATGATGAATATATAAAATTAAATTTTGTATCGATATCACCTTTTAATTCTTGCACATTCCATTGGTCTATATATTTATACTCGTACTGTAAACGTGACTACGTTTAACAAATGACGTTGTAGATATGAATAACGCCATAAACGTCAAATTTTAGCATTTTAAAGGAAAAATTTGAAATTATTTAGCAAAAAATCTAGCGAGTAGACATATTGATTTTTTTTATAATAATGGTTTTGATTTTACCTCATCTTGACATTTTGAAATTCCTGAATAATTCGTCTACGTCTTTAAAAAGTTATCTAACCTTTTTAAAAGAAAATATTTTCACAAAATTGGCTTAAAAACGTCATTTTCTTATAGATTTCAATGGTAAAAGCGTCAAAAAGGATTAAAAACTATACCGCGTTTACAGTACTATAACATTAAAACTACTTAGGCAAATTTAATAAAAATTGCAGATGATACGCTTTAAATTCTAAGGAACATTTTGTCAAATTTTCAGGATATGTTTTCTCGTAAGAATTTTTATGCAGTAAACCCGCGACCTACCTTAAGTCTACGACGCATAAAACTAACCTGACTTTGCTGCAGTTCAGAAATTAAATACAGTATTACCGATATTGCAATTAATTATATACTCTGTATGATTAAGAATCGTAGTTTCATAAAACACCAATTTTTTTCACAATAAACTTAAATAAAACAGTCAACTTGCATTGCATAATGCACAGTGCAATGATTGATTAGGCCAAACAAAAAAAATAACTTTGTTTACTGTTACATGCTGAAATAAAATAGGGTCGGTAGGTAGGATTTTTTTTATTGAATTGAATTTTTTAATACACAAATTCACGTGAATTGGTTGAATTAAAAAAAAGTTTTACCATTGTATGGTGCCTTACTTTTGTATGGGCTTGTAATATGGGTGGTAGACAATATAATCTTTCTTGCCAATTGCCTTATAACTCAGGGGTGTGCAATTGAAAAAAAAAATCAAGTACTAACCCACAGCTAGGTTTGTAACAGCAATAAAGTTACTAGTCTGCAGTTAAAAATGACCAGTCCAATTATAGGGGCAAAAAAAAAATTGTAAAAACTAATATTTTAAAAAGTTCATTGTTGAGAAAGCCAGGCCAGGTCCTAAGCCATTCCTTTTAAAGTTGAAATTTATAAATTTTAAGAAATTATCTTTTCTTTTTCTGAACATATTGCACTAGTCTAGATTATCTAAAATGAAGCCAAAATAATTTTATTTTCTTTTAAACCATTGAGATAATTGATACATATTAAAGTTTTATCACATAATCAGTCTTTGCCAAATCTTTTTTTCAGCACATGCCCTTCGGGCAGGTGTGATCACCAATAATAATAATAATAATAATAATAACAGTATTGCTTCCGATGCGATTTTACCGATTATAATCGGATGTCATAGTTTGGTTTATAAAAAGCAGACTGTTTTATTTATTTCAAATTATTTCTTTAACATGAATTTATAAAATAGGTAATCTATTGTTTTCTTTGTTGTTTTGCTTATTTCACACTTAATTTATACATACAATGTCATGCATGGTTTAAACTTAACTAAAATTTCCACTAGCCAGGTGGTTTTCTAAAGTTTCAAATTTAGGAGCTTACAGCTAAATTTACAATCTCTGTGATTTTTTAACCCTTTTGATATATCACTGGGTCAATTAAATAAAGTCTATATATAGATATAAAATACACTTGTGCATTTGTTTAAAATGAAAATTGAAATTCAAATCACTTTGTAAAATAAATTTCACATAAGTATTTCATCAGAGAAAATGAAATTGAATTTAATTAACAATTTTACTATCCTTTTTTGGAAGGTTATATTCTTAATCCCCTTTTCCTGGTCATTGGACTATACCATCACTTGAATAAGATATTTTTTTCAGTTTAAATATTTTTGAAACTTATCTGGAATAAGTAGAAGCCTAATAACACTTCAATTTCATAAGACTGAGTAATTGGGAATAATTTAATTGGATATCTACCATGTATAACCGATACACAGAGGAATGGAGGAAATTCGGATTAGAAAAAAAGACGATCGTTTTCAAGATTTCACAAATCATGTAGAATTGGTAAATGGATTAGATGTAGGGTATTAACAAACAATAGGACCATGTTACTTTTATTTTTTAATTGATTGGAAGTTTTAAGGAAAAAAACATGGGGAAAAGCGTCTGTTTTAGTAAGGGGACTGGAATGGTCCTGAAGATTTTAATTCGCCACGTGGGCGAACAAGTTATAAATATTATGAGCCTACACAAAAATTTACTCGTGGTTCCTAAGCACTAATTAAAAGTATTTAAAGCACATGCCAATTTTCTTTCATTAGGAATAAATATATTTTAAACTAGAAATAATTAATTCTTGAATGTACTATATTAGAAGTATTAGTATGTTTCCGATGATCGATTATGAATAATTATAATCGATCATTGGAATCGGTAGCATTTTTTTGTTGACAATCGATGTTTTCCGATTATTGGTACAACACTAATTAGTTGGAAATTAAATAGCAAAACAATGAGTGTTTCTCATGTATTTATGATTATACATGCATAATTTTAATTTTATTTTTGCTACCCCCAAAAAACGGTAGCACCGGGCGTTGGGCGATGGTAGTTGCACACCCTTGCAACTGCCACGCAATGGTAAGCAAATAAGCACATTTAAAGTTACAATTAAAGCTTACTTGAATATAACTTAAGACTTGAATTATTTCCAGTCATGTTTTAAATACATGTATTGTAAGTTATCCCATGACCGACAGATTTCCCTTTGATCTTCACAAGGGTGTACAGTATAATTTGTCCAAACCGGCTACCGCCGGTTCCATAAAATTTGGCCGGTTTAGGCAGAATCCGGAGTGCAGGAAAAGTGCAGGAAAATTTTATTAATTTTGAAAATTTCGTTGTTTATTTACAAGTACATAATATACATAATATAAAATATAATTAAATGATGAAATCAATCAATATTTTGGAGTCTGGAATTTATAAAATAGTCTCATATGACTTACTGTATTTTCTTGTTTGTTCACGAAGTTTGAAAGTCGTAGAAATGTTACCTAAATCAAAATCTACAAGCACGCATAATATAGGCCTACTATATATCAAACGGACCAGGTTTCGCTTGCCAAAGAGCTCATTCAATGTAAAAACAGTAATGCACAATTATTTACGATGTACTAATTATTGGATTGAACTTTTAATTTTTATGTAAAAAGTTGCGTCTTCCCCCACAGTGTTATGGCGCCATTTTGAAATGCGTTCGATTTTCGATCCCGATTTATATTTTGATTTGTAAATCGCGTACATATATTTTCTGTATTTATGTTATAATGTGGTAAAAGGAGTTAAAACAAAATTATTTTTTAAAAATTATAATTCAATCATGTAGTAGTAATATTTTTTTTTCAATTGGGCTGTGTCACCGCCGCATTTCACTGAGTTCGTCTCATGGCACTGCTAATGTAAACACAGATTATCAAGTCCACCACGAAAGGTGTTAATTGCTTTGAAGTAACTCAGGTGTGGCCGGATTAGAGGAAATAATTACCGTTAATTATGAGCAGTTGGGACCAGTATGGCCGTTCGGAATACAGAATAGACAGTATCCGGACTACACAGATTTTTTTCTAATGAATTTGTTAAAGAAGTGCATGGGACTAAAATTTATAGACGGAATGGACAAAAATCCGGAGTACTCAGAGTCCGGATTAGACAAATTTTACTGTATATCTCATATCAACATAAGTGTGGTGATATATTAAATATCACATATGTGATATAAAGCTAGTGATATCCAACTGTTAGACCCTGGATGTAGGAGGAGCTATGCAAATGAGAAAAAAATCGTTTCTAAATTTTAATGAACTGAATAAAACAAGAAAAAGGCACAAAACATTGCAACTTTTACACAACTTATGACATTTCTAAAATATTGACAATATCCCGCTCTTCTGAGGCAGAAAATACAGTTTAAATCAAAGCACAAATGTTAGAAATTCTTTACATACTGACAAAAAATAAATTGACACAGAGCAATTTTCTAAGCGGATATCGTTCTCCTATATAAATTCGCACATCCTGTGCAAGCTATTTAGGTAGAATGTTCCTCCCCGGCGGGCATCCTCCAGTTTTGGAATAATGACACTCTCCTTCACAGAAATTTTAAAATCACGGTTTACAAAAAAGACATCGAAACGGAACAATTTTCGAATCGGATAACTTTATCTCCCATACTGGCCATAGGAATTCGCACATCCTGTTGAGGGTGTTTAGGTAGAATAGCAGAATTTTCCTTCCCGTCATGCTCCGCTGGCTCCGGTTTCGGAATAATGGCATTTTCCTTCTCGTCGTCACATTGTTTTATGGATTTTTGGGGCGGCTCCAGTGCTCTACTTACTTCAAGGAGTTGTTGCTCCGATTGCCTTTTGTAGGTTCTAACTGCGGAACTACGGTGGCCCGTTCTCTCCATAATCTGTTGCTCTTCAAAACCTATAGTGTAAATAAATATTGAAATTATTAATTCGAGTCACGTACACGATATAGCGAGCAAACTTTTATGTCATCAAACATTAAATATTTTAATCATTTCCTTTTTTTTAGACACTTTGATTAAATCTATGCTTACCGGACTGAAATAATGTCGTTGCACAGGTCCTTTTCCCCGAGTGATTTGAAAAGTTCCCCAAGAACCCTGCCTCGGCACACATGGTCTTGATAATGGTTCCCAACTTGCTGACCCCTATAGGTTGGATTCCAAAACGTGGTTCGGGTCCTGGGAGTGGTCGTCTATAGAATGATCCTTCCCCCACCAGGGAAATGTAGGACGAATAAACATCAAACAAACTGCGGAGTGTACCGGATTCCGAGTAGTGGCGTATCGTCTTGGCAAGAATGTTCCTCTGGTGTAATCCTCCGGAGAAATTCTTTGATGTGCGCCCACAAAATTCAATGTATGCCTTGCCATCAGAATCGCCACATTTGATTTGACATACCTCTAATTTTCGGTGTTCATCTAGTCCACGGAGTCCAAAAAGTTTGCAGTTGTAATAAAATACAGTGTTGATGTAACTTTTTGAAGTATGTGATCCCAGTAATTTTTTCTCCCACAGGACGTCTTCTTGTTCCGGCGTTAACGGATCCGCTTGCTTGATAGACACTCCTATTCCTTGGGATGCTAGCTCCTTCATTCGCGCGTCAAGAGTTTTCCTGAAGTCATGGAAACGGGCATCTTTGACATCTAAAAAGTTCATATCATGAACTCCCTCCTCTCGCATGTACCGCAGAATCCCCGAACAAATTTGATATAAAGTTCTTGGGGGGTAGGGGGAACCATCTGCACGCCTGGCTTCAATCACAAAACATGATAAAGAATACGCAAGTTCTTGGTACGTACTTTTGAGGATTTCTGGAATGATTTTAAAATCAGGTTGCTGTTGGTTACGCTGAATTTTCCATTCGTTGAAGACTTTAATTGCCCATGAAGTATTGCGGCGGGTGTTTTTACTCTCTTGGTTTTTTTGAAGTGCACTTATCTCGGTAGCGGAGACGGGTTTTCCGAATCTAGTAGTGGTACTTTCAGGCCGTTCAGTAAATGTTTCCTGTTTTAATTCTGGAAACGCCTCTAAACACCAATTCTGAATATCAAAATTCCCAAATTCCTGGTCATTTAAATCAGATTGGCTTAGTTCGTACATCTGAACAGCCTGGCTCAACTGAAAATCGTCATCGTCATAGGATTGCTGAAAAACGGTGTTTAATTCCAATTCGTTATTCTGAACTCCTTCTGCCATCTTCGTCAATCGTAGAACAAAATGAATTGATTATCTCAAAAATTTATCACGAGGTACAATACTAAGAATACTACCAAATTTGGAAATTCGTTACTTGGATACCAAAACCCTTCGCGTTAAGATTGTCACGTGGTTCTGTTAAGAGTCTTTATTCAATACCAAATATGAGAAAAGGTCAAATGAAGGGTCATGGACCAAAATAAATTGATGATCTCAAATATTGGTCACGTTATACAGTATTAAGAAAATTACCTAATATGGGAATCTGTTACTTGGATGCAATACAGTTGAGACTATCACGTGGTTCTGATTCAGAATCTTTATTAGTTGATGCAAAGAAAATACCTAATATGGGAAGAGGTCAAATGAAGGGTCATGGGATAAATCAGTTACATGATTGACAGCTCGATGATGCATACAAAATATCGTTTCGTTATTGCAAACTCGGAGGCTAACGCCTCCTCGCGTGCAATAACTCAACGATATTTTGTATGCATCATCTCGTGTCATCATGTAACTATTACTCAATATGTAATATACTCCTCAAAAAAAGAAACGCATAGTAGGAACAATGCCCTGAAAATTTTTGATAGTTTTGTCATACCTTTTATTTTTGTATGAATACGATGTATTCGAGTGAAATGAATGATTTTTAAATGCAATTGTTAACTTTACAGCTATTCTACAAGTCTCAAAGACAAAAAAACCTAATTTTGCAAAATTTTCCCCAAAATTTTGATCTCAATTTTTATTCGTTGAATTACGATGCAATTCCTTTAGGTACAAAGGGGCTATCAAAAGCGGGGGTTCTCGATATTTTGAATCTGGTTTTATCTGAAAAATGATGCTTCCTTTAATTGCTGTATCTGAATGTTGCGTACGTGGCACAAAAAGGAAAAAAGGGCAACTGGAAGCAGGGGTACCGCAATCTACAGTTGCAAGAGGTTTTAATGTTACACATAGACCATATCTAACCTATAAAACATAAACCATTAACATCGAACACCCAGTGTTTGCAAAAAATATGGTAGACTACGTGTGACATCAGTAGCACAGCATCACTTCCGATGATTAAGCATTGCATGAATGTAATGCATGGATGTTATCTATAGCATTAGCTATCTCTGAACTGCACATAATTATCATCTATCAAGACCATCTTCAGTTGACTACGAATTATTGCAAAAGGATAATTCATGCCGTTGTTCCGACCCCACAACACCCCAAATATCGACTTCAAAGATCTCAGATGAATAGAGTATGACCACAGCATAACTGCTGAACATTTTGGTTAACCTACTTATCCAGAATGTTTATCTGAAAGCCTCTTATAAGTTTAAGAGTGCTAATGCTTTTTAATGAAGATTAGATAGATAACTGCCTGCAGGACGTTAAAAAAAGTTGGTGGTGGTAGTGTAATGATATGGAAAATAATATTATAAGAAAGTAAGATTGATTTGGTTCGAATTCAATGGACTTTGATGGAAAAAGGTACTCTAACCATGTTCTATCTACACATACCCATTCAATTTTGCAGCATCCTAGAGCCGTATTGTAATCTCACAATACACAGTCACATATGGCTCGTTTGACACACATATTCTTGCAAAGAAACAACAAGCTGTTTCAGTCACAGTCATCTAAATTGCTAGAATTAATCCAAATTAAGCAGCATCAGACAAATTGGATTTACATGATTTGCCAAAGACAATCGCATCCCCAGACTCTGCAACACCTGACTAAAGTTCTCTTTTTTTGAAGAGTATATATGGTGTTTAAAGTAAACTGAATAAGTGGAAACTAAAGAAGATATATCAAGATATTAATTAAAGTAAAATTCTAACTTCTACACTGTTGATTGATTGATTGTTTACTGTTTAACATCCCTCTCCAGAATATTTCACTGATATGGAGACGTCACCATTGCAGGTGAAGGGCTGCAAATTTGGGCCTATGCTCGGCACTCAGGGCCATTGAGCAGGGAGGGATCTTTATCGTGCCACACCTGCTATAACACGGGGCCTCAGTGTATACGGTCTCATCCGAAGGAACGCCCCATTTAGTCACCTCTAACGACAGGCAAGGGGATACTGAGGACCTATTCTAACCCTGATCTCCCTGGGAAAACTTCTACACTCTTAGTAAAGCAGTTGTAATCATGGTAATGCAGGCACTACAGTAATAACTATGTACATGTGTATACCAAATGCATTTTAAATTATTATCATGATTATATTCACTTTTTTTTCAAGAAATATCGCTGAAATGTGAAACACTTCTCTGACTTAAATTTAGACCCTTTTATAATAAAGTTTGTTAACTGCATGGATTTAGATAACAAATGGTGATTTTTTTTTTACAAGATAACACTTCAAACTTTATGTTTAATACAGTATATGGGTTTCATTTTCCAAGAATATTATTTGTTTAGACTTGAAAAAAATTCCTTATAATATACCATACATAGATGATAAGGTTTAAGATTGAGATTATCTTGATTAAGATGTTCAGTTTACTACATTCAAACCAAATATGGTATCATTTATCTATATTTTGATTTTGCAGTGTCCAAAACAATTTCCTGAAAAAAGATAAGCTCCTTAGTAATTTTTTTTTATTTTTTGAAATTTATATTATATAAATAAGGCTATTCTGGCTATTTCTAGCCAACTGGCATAGAAAAATCTCTTACTTGATATAGACATTGTTTATGATCAGAGGGTATTTCATGACCTTAATCAGAGGTATTTCTGACAAGTTCAAATTTTGTAATTGAGTATCATTGGAAGCTCATATTTTTAAAAGTTGTTTATGACCTCAAGGTTAGTCATGACTATGGCAGAGGTCATTTGGGCAAGTTCAAGGTCACTGATAATAGTGAATTTAAAACAGGTCTGTAATTTTGTAATAGAGAGACATTGCAGGTATCCGCATTTCACTGAAAGATTATTAATGACCAAAGGATATGTATAATGATTAGGGCCCCGCTCTGTGGGCACCCTATAGTGATCAGTCAGTCTGTTCGTCTATCCTAAATCTCTTGTCCGGAGCATATCTTTTCTCTCTTTAAGTTTAATATTCTTTTTATTGCGTGGACCCTGCGGTCCACGCAGTAAATATATAAGTCAAGTTAAACCGGATGCCCTCGGCAAACGACAGACTACGCATGCGCACGAATGCTAAAGAGTTCGCACCTTTGGTAACTTGCCCGTAGAATAATTCGCCCTATTCGAATTAAAATATGCCATTCATTGGCAAATCGCGCTTTTAAATCTGCATATCGCATTAACATATTCATTGGCAGATCAGATTTCCCCTCTTTTGCATACATGTATACTTTTATACTAAACATTGATTCTGTGGTACAAACATTTTAAGAACAACTTGAATGAGAAACGTCACTCAACAAACAGAGATACATGCAGCTTTTAAAAGATGGAGCAAGTTTTCACCGGCATTAGTTTTGTGCATCAAGACTCGCAAAATAATTTAATATTTCAGCAATCTTAATATTGTTTTATAAAGATCTGTAGCAAGGGCTTTTAATGTGTGTGTGTGTGGGGGGGGGGGGGGGGGGCTCCGACAAAATAAAAAAAAATAATCTACGTAGTACAGAGGTGTGCTACACGTGAACCATCAGATCTCTATTATTCCCATGATAAATTTCTTCTGTATAAATCCAGAACAGGTGTTAAGTCCCAGCCAATATGTGTTACAAGTGTCAAAATAACCCGATTTTTTAAAACATGTTAAAACTGACAAAACGACAAAACTAAAGATCGCTAATCGGAGATAAAATTTCACATTTGTGCTTTGAGACTACGATCAGTTATAAGTGGCAGATAATTATAAAATAAGTGAACAAACCTTACATGAATATTCCCTACACCTAGAAATTTTCTGAATTGAATTTCAATTAGAAAAAAACACGCTAATGGTCCACGTATTGCAGTCCTTTTTTAAAGGACAGCAACTTGTTATATTTCATTAATTTTCTTTTTCACAAAAGTTGAGATTGTTGTCCTACCATTGAGGAAAAATTGTTTACATCTACATTAGATGGACAGAAAAGGTGATCTTAAATGCTTGTGATAATCACTGCAATATAAAATTGTTCTTTGGTATGTGGGTTCGATTCCCACCCAGGGCTTAAAATGGCAAAGTATATTATCTAAATCAATTGCTACATGTACATATTAATGAAAATATTGGAAATTCATCTAAAAATTTCTCATGAATGTGCATGATTAATTGATTTTTTTAAAGAAATAACTTTATTTTTGTTATTTCATATTTTGCATTTAATGTACAAAATTCTTCAAATTTATTTGTTCTGCAATATACATTATACATGTATCCAAATCTTATGATAATTTAGTTTGCTGATGCTGGTGCTAAAGGAGGAATATGCTGCCCTGAGCCTCCACCAAAGAGTTTTTTTATAAGTTAAAAAAAAGAAATTCTTTAAGGTGATCTAAATATCCCACTGCTCTAAATTTCAACACTTTTTAGCTCACCTGAGCAGAAGGCTCAATTGAGCTTTTCTAATCAAAATTTGTCCATCATCTGTTGTTGTTGTTATCATTGTCATCATTGTTGTAAATTTTTCACATTTCATCTTTTTCTTAAGAACCATTGGGCCAATTTTGA